GGTATCTCTCTTACATACAATTAGCAGATAACGTCCTTTAATTTGACCTAGTCAAATGTCTTTTTGAGATCTACGAAACATATGAGTTATGCCGGTTTGTTGTATTCTAACGATTTCTCTTGCACTTGCCTTATTATAATTATATGTCAACGATTTCTTTATTTCTTCCTATATTTATTTCTTTGTTTGTCGTCACCTCTGATGTTAGTGGTTTTCATATTACACAATAGTAGATATCTCTATCTGCCATAAACAGTAATAATTGCATAGTCATGTTGTGTCTCCTAGGAGTTTTGTTTCATATATCGGACAACATACGTTGGCTTATAGGAAAGTCCTTACAGTAAGGATCCTGGCCTATACAGAAAAATTCAAGCAGGTGTGGGATAATACTACACTTTGGTTGCATTGATGGTGTGTTCGCTAAATCGTGCAGAATATAATGCTGATAAAAAAGGCATTCAGGCATTACATGTCCGAAAATATTTTCAGGCCATCATAATGAAAAAAACTCTTCCAATGTAAAAATTATACTGAAATGAAGGCAACTCCTGAGGTAAAATATTCCGGAAGAAAAATGGGCCTTCGTTTAGATTACTGGATGAGGACTTAAAGGTAAGAGTGTAGAATTAGTACATGCGCTTAAAAGAAGGATAGTACACATTCATTTTATTCAAGAGACTATGTGGAAAGCACAAAGGGCAAAAGAACTAGGTGAAGTATACAAATTGTGATATGTAGGGAAAAGTAACACTAGGAATGGAATTGGTATAATTGCTGCTCGTGAAATGAAAGATAACGTAGAAGAAGTTGTAATAATGAGTGATAGAATATTGTCAGTAAAATTTGTAGTTGATAAAGAAGCATTGAATACAAAAGTGGACAAAATTAATCCATAAATAGATTATTTCATGACAAGAAAAGAAGATATATGATAAGATGATTCTAAGGACTGCAATATTATTATGCAAGATATTAAGTGTGACAGTTGGCCACCAACATAAGTTGCTTGTACGTAGACATCGAAGTAAAAAGCTTTGTTTTCCAATATCACTGAGCGTATATGAATATTTGCTAACTCCCATACTGTTTCTTGTTTCCTAGTTTATTTATTCCTATAGATCTGTTTATGAGATTATCTCTATCTATGAGTTTTTTCTTGATGCTTTGGTTTCTGAATCTTATAACTAGTTAATTTTTACATATTGTCTTTTATCTTTCATCTTTTTAAATAAGTATTTAAAATGTATAACCAAACTTTTTGGTATTGGTTATGTCATTTCAAGCATTTACATGCTAAATGCTCGATCTTTAGGCAACAGCATGTAAATTGCTAAGAAAAATTTGAAGGTGGTGTTTTTACACTAGGAATATCAAATTCTAACTACTTTGTGCGTTTTGTGTTATATCTTTGTGTAAAAACCGTATAATTGTCGTTGAGTAATGTAAATTAAGCAATAGTAGATTTGTGTTTATGTGTATTGTGTGTTATGTATGTTTTGTGTATAAGATTGTAGAATCTACAGTGTAGATGGTGTTTTTCGACCTCCTATTACTCCGCTATTGTTGGTATTTTCTTATCGTTGACTTCTTCTACTAGTATTGGCAACCAAAGTCTTCTGTATTCTGCTAACGGTTTTTCTCTTCCATTTTTTTTACATTTTTGTCCATTGAGTAGAAAGGGGCTGCTTCTTTGACTTTACTCTTTTATATGTCTGTTTCTTTCATGATAATTATAGATGCATTTTTCTATTGTAATCGTTGTCCCAGATATGTTTGTATATCTGGAATTTTTGAAGTTCGACATTCTTTGTATTATATATAACAATAGTTCGTGTTTACGAATAATTTGTCTGAGAACTTCGTCGTTAGTAATTCGATCGGTTCACGTTATGAGAATGTTCTATATATTAAGGGGTTCATATGGTGGCATTTTCTCCTCCATGGCCTATGACAAGATCCATATTCAATACTGCTTATTCGGCTCTGGCTGTGAATGTACTAGCAACAAATGTATACGCACATATAAGGCTACTCCTTAACAAAACATGTCTCATGATTAAAACGGTGTCGAAATGTAAACAAACAAGGTTGGTACCCGATCTATCAAGGCGCTGATAATCAATGGTTGTGCAGTTTATATGCGAATTTTGGTAATTGGTGTTAGATGAAGCTTTGGGCGATTGGAAAAGCTTTCTTCTAGTATTTTTTATTTATAAGATTAAGTCCCACATTAGGAATTTAAGAAGGTCCAATGGTATAATAGACTGGTACTTCCCTACACGAGCAAACATTTTTTTGGTTTCCTTTGTCGTTCCAATTTTAAAATAGGACGTTTCAAAAAATAAACAATTATTATTATATTAGAAGTTCGGTGTAGATACATCTGTAGAAGCAGTGGAAACTTTTCAAAATTATAGTTTACGTGTATATTTAATATAAGTAGTAATCTGCTCAATTGCTTAGCGGGCTGGCAAATTATTTTGTTTTGGCTACTTTAGCAGGTATTTGTAATGCCAAAATTTTTTCACACGTAGTAGTAGTATAAAATTCCTCGTTGATATGCCAGTTCATTGATCGAGTTGACCAGTGGAGGAGTTGTACGATGAGCAATTAGACCTTAGTACTCAGTAAATTAACCTTCTCAGAAGACGTAAGATATTAAAAAACCGGGAATAGAAAGAACGGACGTAACGAATAGAATAAAAAGGAAAATTAATACAGACGAAGATTCCCATAATGAGGTAATTGTCAATAACAACGCTATATTTTGAACACATACTTATTAGGGAAATATAAATACAATATGAAAATCGTAGCTTATTAATAATAGCTTGTAAATAATGATTCATTACTGTTTGATACAACGATTGAATTTTTATAGTTTATGGACCATTATTTTTAATTTTCAAGCAATGTGTTTTATAAAATTTTGCAACTCGTTACTTGATATTTTCTACGTTAAAATTGGTATGTATTATATATTTATACATATTGCAAATATTTGAAAAATTGTTCAACACAGCAACGCACTCTGTATAAAGATAGAAATTAAATCCTTCCGACAATTAAAAAATTTCTTAACCTTTTAAGTCTTACCGTCAACCACTCGTTGAGTTTTTACTTCTTCGTGACTAGATGATTAGTTAATTCCGCATAACTGCAGATATTCTTTAAAAAATTCTTTACAATTACACTTAACATTTTTTAATTTTTTTTTGTAATTAATAGAATTTCCGCATCCGCAGCCCATTGACAGCTTGTAAGTAACTAAAGTAAATAATTATGAGGACTCTTTAAATTTGTTTTTATTACAATATAAAAAAGAATGTATAAACGTGTTCTCTAATCGTGCAGAGTCCTCTATAAGCCATTATAAATGTTAAATCTAGGAAATAAAGCAACTGGTTGTAGCAGAAATAAAACTTTATGTAAAATACCCATACCCTGTTTTATTGTTGTCTCATTTAAATGAAAATTAAACTATTAATACAGACTATGCTGAAGGTGGGAGATTACGATAATTACACCATACGAAGAATTACAGCCGAGCACCAAAGTAGCTTACCGAGGTGCTATGAACAGAGATAAGCTACAGATGCGAGGCTGGAATGAGTTTTCTTGAGATACGTATACTATTTTTAGGACGATCTAGCAATACTAATTAAGTTCCAAATAATAAAATGTATATTTTTACTAGAAAATGACAATGGCGTTTGCAGGTATAGAAAGTGGTATTTTATACTTCTAATAAACCCTCCTAATAATAAAAACATCCGGAATTATTGTATATTCATATTAATATACTGCTCTCTTATGTAAACATTAGTAAAGAAATTGTAACTAGGTCTATACTATGTACCCTCACTGTACACGGTGTTGATATACACGGACAAAAACATTGCATATTTTATTTTCAAAAATATTTTTTGTGATCTGGATATTATTTCTTTTTCTTTATAATATAATATATTTTAAAAAAAAATATATATCTTATCTTGAATTGTTTTATGTATTAAAATTTATTGACTACAGAATGTTCGAATATTAAACCAGATATACAGACCACTTAATGAAAGAGAATCATAACATTTAAGTAGAAACAGCAACAATTACAACAAGATAAAAGTTAACGATCTTGAAGTTCTTGAATAGTTGCTTGCGTAATTCGAACTCATTCTTTGTATTATCCTGGTAGAATGGATTCGTGCAAATTGTAACCACCGTTCTGTGACGTTTGAACAGTTTCGGAACTTTGGCAGGTCGTTTGGAATTTAAAAACCAGCTTTCCTCGGTATTATTATTACTGTTTTTATATTTAAATTGACCTTTTTTGTACTTTTTGTCGTCCTTGATCAGGGTAGAGCGTCTTTACATCACGAAAAAGAGTTAATTGAGGGATATGCAATCAATGAGCAGCATCTTTTTATCTGCACCAGTCATTTGCTAAAATAACCATTTTAACACAAAAAACATCACTTAAATGTAACAGCTTACTAAGAGCACTGCAGAAATAACATTTAAACTAATCCAAATATCACCAATGAAATCAAACAAAGAAATGGCTATATTTGTACAAGGTACAATACACAATATTTTTAATTTATTTCATTACTGCTTCTACCTCTATAATCTGTCACGAAGTATTTTGATAGTCTGTAATAAATTACAAGACATAAAGCACTTCAGATATTTATGTCTAAAATAATGTGTATATAAAAGTTCACAGGAAAAAAAATTATATTAAAAATACTTATCATAAAATATGCAATATTTTTGTCTGTGGGTGAATTTGATAATTTAAATTTCCGATAGATTTATCTAAGCAGATCTGAATTTAGTTTTAAAATCCCCACTGCGCACCTTGCCTCAAGAAGAAGATAAACTTAAGTTGGTTATATTACCCGATACAGATATTAGTTTATCTGCGGTAATTTATAAATTCATTAATCAAATCTACTAATACTTGCTGAACAATTGTTATTCACATGTTCAACAACCGTTGCTTTATTTCTTTTTATAAGCTTATCTTAAGTATAAAAAATAAATAAATCTGCTCACCTTCCTAGCGTTCGTCGCCTTGAGATCTGTCTGCAGCGCCATATTGGAGAAAGGCACCTCCATGGAGTACTTGATGGAATGAAGCAGTTGGACCACGACGTTGGAGACGTTCTTGAAGGACAGCTTCCTTCTCTGGGCAGCACCCAGAGCCGATCGAACCTGCAGCGTGTTGAACAACAGTGGCTGGAAGAGAACCGCCGGGAGTGCCGGGGGGAGGGCAAAGGTTAGTCACACGGGGTTAGTTCCAACATGCGAGCGGGCTAAAGCTCTCTAATATGATAGTGAATGAAATTTTCAGGCTAAATGTTGAAAGTATAAAACTAAATCTACATAACCTGATAAAGTTATTAAATAAGAATGCTTATTTTTTTTATAAGGACTTATAACGAATATAAGTAAATATAATCTTGGAAATATAGATCGGAGAATACACAACAGTGTATTGGCCGATTTTTTATAGATGAATATATTTGAACATCAAATTAAATTTTACATAACCTACAACATTTACCCTCTATCGGCTATAATAAGGTTTAACCATTAGTTAACACCATACAAACTTAGTGAATGATCACACTTAGTGATCATTTTATAAATACCGCTCAATGTCATACTAAAACCAGAAAAGCTGTCAAAAGTTTCTATCAAACTAAACCACAACACAAAATTGGACGTTCTTTGAATAATTTTTTACAATCAAAATTTTAATAATAATCAATCGTTCAGTTCAGACATTCTTGTTTACTTTGTTAACTATTACTCTAAAAGTTAACAAATTAAAAAATTTTCAAAACGATCTAGCTTCATAATACATGCTTAATAATTATAAAAGAAGAAAGTAAAAAAAGTTTAATGTACGATAGGTAAAATTCTTTAATAATTTTTTTAATGCCTTTTACATGTTTTCCGGTCCCAAAGTTGTTCTCAAAAAAAATTAAGAGAATTAGAAGAGAACCATTTAAGGATTGCAAATAAAAATATCAAACAAAAAACATACTGCGATACTGAAAAGGTTAATAATAAGAAAATATCAACATTAATGAGCAAAAAATATATCAGGGACGCATCATCATCATTGGCTTTACAGCCCAGATTGTGCTTTGACCTGTTCAATTATTATTTATATTCATTAACATTTCTAACTTTCCTTCTCCATTTTCTAGTTTCCAAATCTCTGAAATCTTCTGTACATGGTCCATATATCGTTTTTGTGGCCGCTACTTGGTTCGCTTTCCCACTATTTGTTGTTGAGTTTTGATTCTTGCTGATTAAGTAAGTTACATGCGCCCAATGTAAACTATACATGTAACTCCACGTATTTCAGTCTTGAGTCTACCAAGCTTTATCAGCTTTATCACATTAACATCTCCGTAGGCTTGAGACCATTCGAAATTGTATCATCTTGTTCAAATGCCATTTTCAGTATATGCCATTCATCTGATTTTGTCAATACCCAGGTTTCTGATCCATAGGTGAGCACTGGTCTGATCAGGGTTTTATAGATCTTATCTATCTAGTAAATATATCTAATTTCAAACGTCTTAAAAGTTCATTGTGCGCTCGATTTCTGTATCCGTCTTGTTGTCATTATCTATAAGGGTTGCCAGGTATACAAATTCTGAGACAATTTGTATATTTTACTCTCCCATTATGCTAATAGTGAATGAATTCAGCATTTGTTGTTGAGTGCTACCTATTTTTACATCATGTGCATATGCCATCATTTGTAGGCCCTTGTTACTATTATACCCCTTAAGTTTATGTTTGAGACTCTCACAATGTATTTTAGAGCCAGATTGAAGAGCATATAAGAGAATGCGTCTCCTTTTCTTAGTCAGTTGTTTGTCGAGAACGCATTCGTCAAACCATGGTTACACTCTAAACCACCCTAAATTATGTAGGTGATGGATTCGACCGTTACTTGATGGAAATTAATTTTATCTTACACTAAAACACTGAAAACTTTTGTTTTCAACACTTCCACAAAATTTATTATAATTTTATTATCACTACAGCTGTTTTGGCAGAATACCTTTCTGAAGTGATCTATTTTTCGTATGCGTTTACACTTTATAGCCTTTAACTGAATAAGTTGAGGAGGGGAGAACTGTTTGCCCCAAGTTGATCATTCAGAATTATGTTTGTATTTTTTAATTTGTCAATTTCCATAGATTCTCATAAAAAACATAAAGATACAGAAAAAATATAATAATAAAGATGATTTAAGGCCTTTATTTTGGTAAAGAATTTAAAATTCGTCATTAAAAAAATGATTATGGTCTAGAACATGAAGCGCGTACGTAGATTCTGTTTTTCTATTATTGAAAGCCCATTAATGTTCTGCTATACGTTTGTTAAAACTTCTACCAGTTTGACCGATGTAAGTTTTTGAGCAGTCGCTACATTTAAGTTTGTTTACACCAGTGTGTAAGTGCTTTCTCTTTTGGCTCATGTTGTTCTTAATATATTTGTCCAAGTTGTTGTTTGTTATAAAAGTTAGTGTTATTCATTTCTTTTTTATATGTTTGGCTAATTTTGTTGATACCTTGCCTATATTTAATTAAGCAGAAGGTACTGGGTTTTACTTCTGGTGGGGGAAATAGTAATTTTATGGCTTTCTTAAATCAAAAACTATATAAGACTGTTACTCTGTAATAAAGATGCTAGGTACATAAAACTATTACTATTCACAATTACTTCAACCTCCAGATATCGAGGTAACTAATCTTTCAATTACTCCTAACTAATCTTTCAATTAACATTCCACATACTCTCTTTTTGTCCTACCTTGTTTCTACTGTTCCAGTTTTTGTTTTAAATCGCTTTTACTATTTCGTTCTAACACTATATCATCAGCATACATTAAGCACCAGTGAATTTTATCCTATAGTTCTGTTGTTATCTGGTCTAACACTATTGTGTTAGACTACTTTCTACACAATACTTTCAAATGCAATTTATTAGTCTCTCTTATACTTCCTATACTTGCCTTAACACTATTTGTTTCTTTCTCATATATATTTCTCACAATCTTTACATATTCACCGGAGACTTCCTTTTTATTGAATGCCCACCATACGATCTCTCGAGGAACTCTATCATATGCTTTCTCAAGATCAATGAACACCATATGAGCGTTTGTTTCTTTATTATGCATTTTTTCATCAACTGTCTTAAAGTGAAAATTGCATCTGTTGTTGATCTGCCTTGCATACAAATTATCGGATATTTCGGTTTCTTCACGTATTTGTCTATAAAGGCGTTTAAGACCCTGTACTTTGTGCATTGTTGTCTATCTCCCTTGTTTGTTTAAACATGTACTAATATACTGCTTCTCAATTCTTCTGACATTTGTCCCATTTCCATAATTTTATTAAATGAACCTGTTAACCAAATTGTTTTTCTCTACTAATGGTGTTCACACTACCCCATGAATATTATCTGGTCCAACATCTTTACCTTTCTTTATTTTTTGAAGTACTTAAACCACTTCCTCGTTAGTTATTTTGGTGCCCGTTGCTGTTACTGTCTTTTCGTGAACTAGTATTTACTTTTTTACATTTTAGATATACCTGATCTGATTAAAATTTTCTGTTTTCTTTGCTCTATGTTTGGTTATTTATATAACTTCATTTCTCCTTACTTACTTACTTACTCCGTGGCGTTACAACCCTTCGTGGGTTTTAGCCGACTCGACAACATGCCTCCACTGTTTTCTGTCTTGAGCAACCTCCATCCGATTCTCCACGCACATAGTGCTTAGGTCTCCTGCTATATTATCTCGCCACCGGAGACGACGGCGTCCGCGTGGTCTCCTTCCAGTTGGGACTTCCTCCCACACCAGTCTTACTGTTCGTTCGTCAGAATGTCTTCTGAGGTGTCCTGCCCATTGGAGTCTTCTGGACTTTATTTCTTTTATGATGTTGGCGTCTGGGTAAAGTTCTTCAAGCTCTTTATTAGTTCTTATCCTATATTGTCCTGATGCTTCATCAAGCACCGGACCAAAGATCTTCCTTAGGATTTTTCTTTCCCAAACACGTAGTCTCTCTTCATTTGCCTTTTTTATCGTCCAAGTTTCGCTTCCATACATCACAACGGGTCGTGTGATTGTTTTATAGACCTGTATCTTCGTACGTCGTGTTAGTTGTTTTGATTTTATAAGGTTTTGGAGGGCAAAAATACATCTGTTGCCGGCCTGAATCCTGTTGTTTATTTCTTGTGATCCGTTATTGTCTTCAGTTATTGTTGTTCCAAGATACTTGAATTCTCTAACGCGCTCAAAGTTAAAGTCATCGATGGTAATGTTCTGACCGATTCTGTCTCTGCTTTCGGTATTGCGGCTCATATACATATATTTCGTCTTGTTTTCGTTGATTTGGAGCCCCATCTTCTCTGCTTCCTTCTCAAACCTTACCTAAGTCTCCTTCATCCTTAATCGCGTGTTTCCTATTAGATCTATATCGTCTGCAAATGCCAGTAGTAAGTTTGGTCCTTCTCGATGAAATACTGTATTCGGTTTTTCGATTCTTGCACTTCTGATTATGTGCTCCAGAGCTAAGTTGAAGAGATGTGGTGAAAGTGCATCTCCCTGTTTTAGTCCATTGTTTATTTCAAATGTCTCCGAGTATTGTTGTCCAACTCTCACCTTACATCGTAACCGTTCCATACACATCCGTATCAACCGGACTAGTTTTTTTGGAAAGCCAAGTTCCTGTATCGCTGTCCACAGTCTGTCCCTACATACTCTATCAAATGCTTGTTTAAAATCTATGAACATCTGATGAAGCTCACGATCAAACTCCCAGCTGTTTTTGGGATTTTTTTTTCCATTATCTGTTTTATTGTGAATATCTTGTCAATTGTAGAGCGGCCCGGTCTGAATCCGCATTGATAATCTCCAACGATTTCTTCTGTGTATGTTTTGGTTCTTTCTAGCAGGATGTTTGCAAGGATTTTGTAGGTGGTGTTTAGGAGTGTTATTCCCCTGTAGTTAATACATTGCTTTTCATTTCTCCTTCCCTGGTATCAAGTTGATCGCATATAATTGTAAACGATTATGCTACCGCTACTTCGCTTCCTTTTTGTCAACCGTCTAGTTTTTTAAAATACGTGTCCGATTTACTTTTTTGCAATATTCTGTTCTCTTTTATTTTTTAAAATTTTGGAATTCGTTTGACCACCGC